GGGGGGGGAAGGCTGGGGGGGGGGGTGTCGGGCACCCCCGGGCCGAGGGGCTGCAGGTGGCTGCTTTGGGAGAAATAGCTCATTTTCTGCACCTCTGGGGGAAATAGCTCATTTTCTGCACCTCACACGCACCTGCGGTTCGCTGGGGGCTGTGCTGGTCTTTTTTCCCCTCCCCCGTGGTGCGCTGTTCCAAAATAATCCGGGGGGGAAGGCTGGGGGGGGGGGTGTCGGGCACCCCCGGGCCGAGGGGCTGCAGGTGGCTGCTTTGGGAGAAATAGCTCATTTTCTGCACCTCTGGGGGAAATAGCTCATTTTCTGCACCTCACACGCACCTGCGGTTCGCTGGGGGCTGTGCTGGTCTTTTTTCCCCTCCCCCGTGGTGCGCTGTTCCAAAATAATCCTGCTTTTTAATATTATTTGTAAGAGGTAAATGCGGTCAGTGTTATTAAGAACTAATGTTTATAATAGACACAAGTAACAGCTCTATAAACGTACTGTTGTATTAACTTTACAGAGTACCTGTGGTTTGATTAACCCAGCTTCAGTGTTTGGGTTTCTTTGCTGCATGTCATGTGTTTTAGCCAGGAGACTTTTAAGTCATAGATGGCACAGACCATTTGAAAACAAGTTCTAACTTCAACGTCTTGGCAAGACACCAACAAGGATGCAGACAAAAATGTGCAGATACCATAAGAAGATAATGCTATTAAAATGTTTTTCTTTAAGTCTGTGTGCTTAAAGCACAAGTTCTAGGAAGTGGATTTAAAATATAATGCTTACCTGAGTTCTTCCACATTTGTGCTGTTTTCTGCAATAGTCTTGAGCAAGAGGTGAGAAAGGGGGTTGCTCTTACTTCTTAGGTAGTAAGAGGAGTGGAGTTCTGCCTCAGTGTTTTTTTCCATTGTATTTCTTTAAGAGAGGGAGAAAGGTCCAACCTTAATAGTTTCACAGTGAGAACTCAAATGAGTGCTCTGGGAAGCTGCTTTTTATATCAGAATGATTTTGAAGTAGATGTAGGGAAGATTAGACAAATACGAGTAGTTCCATGGGAGTCAGTGGATCACTTCTCTGCCTGGGTAATCATGCAGGTAACAATGTAACCTGTAACAATACTGTTCAATATTTTACCATGTAGACTGGTCACCCTCAGGATGAGGGACTTCTGTGACTGCTTTAGTATGAGCTGCTGCTGTCCTGTCTGATGTGTTCTCCTCTGAGCCCCTTGTGCTGGGTCCTCTGATAATGTAACTCAGGGGAATCGAATAGACTGGAAAATAACTCTGATGAATAATACATGTTTAGAGTGTTTTTTAGCTGGATTTGGCTGCAGCTGGTGCTGGGACGACAGAATGGATGAGTATGAAGGCAAACCTGGCAGAGACACTTTTCTTTTTGATAACATCCCGTTGCAAACAAGAGCCTAAATCTCAGTTATACTTTGAGCATCAGAAGAAACTGGTTTCATAAAATGAAATGGGCCTCTGTGGGATTTGTGAAAGGTTCAGCTCTCCTGCCTTCTGCTCTTCAGTGAAGAAAAGATTAATGGAAATGAATGCATAGTGGATGGCAAAGAATGGTTATCAACACAGTAGAATAGAATCAGATAACTTAGCTTGGAAAAGACCTTTAAGATTGAGTCCAACTGAATATGCAAGGTGAAGAGCAGGATGAGGTGGTATTGGCAGTGATAAAGAATGTGGAACCTTGAAGGTGAGAATGAGTGGTTTGAACTTACAGGGGAGAGACAAAGTATCTGTCACAGGGAAAACTTCGGAGAGGGTAGCTGCAGATAGTTTGGACCCCATGCTTCTCTTGTTTGATGCCTGGTAGTGCAATATCCAGGACATAGGCTGCCAGAGGAAGGAAAATGGTGTTGGAAAACTTAATTGAATTGTGTGTAGCTGTACTGCAAGGTGAAGGGATAGGGTTGAATGGTCCAGTGTTCAATTTCAGTGTTTTAAATTGCTATCAGTACCCCAGAGCAAAACCAAAACCCAAACCCATTATTGGTAGACTGGAGGAAAGTTTGTTATGTTTTGTTTCCCAACTTGATTTGGAAAACTTGTCAATATTTAGTGTCCCTGATGTAAATAAAAATACATCAGAAAGTAGCACTTCAGGTATTCAGATAAGAATGCTGGTAGTGAAGTGAGCAAAAGTGATTGCATTAGTCAGAGCTGGAAGTGAGCTAAAAATAGATTAAATAAAAATGCACCACCACATTCCATCTTGTGAGACATTTTGTCCTCTTTGTACTTGGGTAACCTGTGTACATATCTAGAAATGATCTTTTTGCTGAGGACAGATTTGATATTACAGCTCTGGAGGAGTTGTGAGGGCTCTTTGAATCTCCAAGCCATGGTTGGTTTGTTGACTTTAGCGTTGGAAAATAATGTTAGCATAATGAAGTTTGGCCTTGTGGTTAATGTAGGCCATAGATTGCAGTCTGTGAATCCTGCTTGTAGCTTTGAAATGGTAAAACAGCTTTAAAAGCAGCCTCTGTTATCATTCTGAATGCTTTTTAAGATAAGCTATTTACTCGTGTTTATGGGAAACTGATTTCCAAATTCAGGACTGATCTATGCATGCATATTTTCTAAGTCTGTAGTACAGATTTGAGAGGACAGATTATTTTCCTTTGGGTGTTGCTAGTTGAGACTGAAAACTGCTGAACAGGTACAGCTTCTCACTTCATGTGGAGGAATATCATCCAGAGGCTGAGCAAGATATGTTGCTCTGATCTCAAGATTCTATTTGCAAGACACAATTTGAAATTTCCTGCATAGGCTGTTTTACAGACTTTGCCCCCCTTTTTTTTTTCTCAACCAAATTTGTTAGTGTTATTCAGTAAAGGTCTTAACCTTTGAGCTGCCTTGTACCTACATGATCTATAGGATTTTGCCTTTTAAAACATTCTTGTGGTCTTAGATACAGGCATTTATATGCTGATCAGTGACCTCAAAGGTTGCAATGCTGGTGTTTTTCAGATATGCTGCAGTTGCACAGCAATTAAAGTGGTTTGTTCTTTAATGTTTTTAGTCTTTATGTATGAATTTATACAAATATACATTGATGTAATCTCTGTTACATTGCAGTGGCAAGCAGTGTGAAAGGTCAGGTTAAATATTAGGCAAACTATGTGTGGTTTATATCTTGTATGTGGGAGAAGCAACTATGCTGAATAAAGTTTTTTATATTTTATACCTAATTTCATTATTTCTCAGCACCTGGTAATATGGTGATCAGAAGTGCTGTCAGAGTTGAACAAAAAAATTAGTTTCAAACGTTTTACAGTGAAATGTGTAGAGAGAAGTAGGAGCTAGTTACAGTTATCTGCGAGCCACTGATACTTACTGTGCTGTTATTTCTTTTATGTTTTTAGAGCCATCGTGAAACTATGTGGAAATGGGGTAGTGGAGAGGATTCTCCTTCCAAAACAGTAGTAAGTATTGAATTGCTATTAAAATAAGATTTTCTTAAGAATTTCTGATATAAAGCCTCTTTATTTTATGATATGCTAATTCCTCTTTGGTAAATAAGTTGCTTAACTAGTTTTACCATGACTCAGTTTAGGGACTCTGATAGTCAGGTTGGGTTCTTGCTTCCTGGCTACTTGGCATTTAATCTCTTGTGAGTAACACAGTGTCTCTGTTCTTCTTCGCTGTGCTTATCTTGCTGTAAAAACACATCTGCAGGAATTACATAAGCTTTATGCCAAGTGTATCTTTTGTCTGTAGTATGTTCAATATCAATATTTTACTTGACTAGGTTCAGTAATGTTACTGGTTGTTACAATGTAAATCCAGAAAATGAGGAAAATCAGTTTTGGATGCTTAGATAGTTTTGCTGTATCTCAAACTAATATTCCTAAACCAGTTTCTAAAGTTTATAATTTCCTGTGTCTATCAAACTTGCGAAAAACGTCTGATACAGGTGTATATATAGGATATATAAGTTTTAGAATTACACTCTAATAAGATTTGCAGAATGTTTTAAACAAAAACAACCAAACACCAACTGAAGACTTGTTGCAGGAGCAGGGCTGTGTCTGCACCATTTTGCTTTTTCCAAGTATGCTTAATGTCTGAAGGCTGCAGGCTCTCAAGATGCAGGAAACATGTCGGTGACAGATTTGACTGAGCAGCTGACAAGGACTGAACAGCTGGTAGCACAGCTAAAGGGGCTTGTCAGAGAGAAGGATGCTGAGCTTCGAGATAAAGATCTGCAGTTAAAGGTACCGTGCCTGTATTCTTGTGTAAAAGACTGTTAAAACCCTCCACCTTTTGCCCTGTTTCATCATGAGCAGTTTTATAGGCTTACCATCAGTTACAGCAGCTGTAGGAACACAGGAAACGTTGATTACACTTAGCTGTTATGTTTCTGCTTTTTTACCAGTGTGTCTTCTGGTCCAAAATTGTAGCAACATTTGGGAATTACACAGGCAACATGTTCCTTGCATGAGCAGATGCACTTAATAATTGGAAGGGACAGGCTGGCTTTCTGAGGCCTAGGGGTGCATGGTCATTTTAGGCTAAGTATGGGGAAAATACCATCCAAATCATTACTAGGCATTTGGTGAGATGCCAGTTTACCTCCAACTGAATTTCTGTAGGTAGTTTTTTATTTCTCCTTCCACTGTAATTGTCTTCTTATTGTATAATCATCTTACTGTTAATGCTACTATGTATTGCTATTATCCTTTGCTTGTGACTGGCATTAAGAAGGAAGGAACTAGAATTTTTATCTAGTAATCGGAAGGGTTTTGAGGGTTTGTTCTTTATTCTGTTGTTTTTTTAAACAGTCATTTGATCTATTCCTGAAAGAGACTATTTTTATACTTCCAAAAAATGTCTTCTGTGCACACTAACAGCCAAGTGTTCAAGTATTGCATTGTCTAGAACTGATTGTAAAATAAGTCACCTGTTTAAGCAAAATGAAATAGGCTTTTATAGTCTTATGAAGGTGCCTTTTTGGCATAAAAAAAAATAAAATTAACTCTTCTTGCAAAAAAAAAAAAGTAATCAACCCCTGATATTGTATTGCTATAAAAAACCAGGACAACTTCTGACATCGTAATTCTCTGAATAATTCTCTACAATAATAATAACCATGTGCAGAAAGTTTAAATAATGAAAGGGTGGTTGTTTCATATATGCAGACCTGTTGCAAGTGACTTTATAATGTCTCTTCAGGAGAAAGATTTATTTGGTAATCTATATATTTATTTTATTCAAGGGAAGAGTGGAAGGATGCAGTTGTTTGTGTAGCTAATTTTCGTGACTTTGGTGTTTGTAGGAGGAGAAGGAATCTGCTGATGCCAAACTTTCCAAGTTGAAGCTGCAAAACAAAGCAAAGGTAGCATCACTGACCTCACAACTGGAAGAACTTAAGAAACAGGTATCAGCATCAGGAGGCTTAGAGGCAAAAGCAGAACAAAAAAAGGTAAGTGTCCTTACATTTGAAAGCAGACAGCATTTCTGTAAGGCTGTAGGCAGTTCTGTGTGCTGGACTCAAATGTGGAATTGAAGTTCAGACTTTGAGCTGAGTCAGTTTAGGATCAGGTAGAACCTGTGTGGTGCTGTCAGTCCCTCTGTGTATTTCTATTTCATTCTTTTATCTCTCTGTAGAAATTTAGAGAATTGTGCATTCCTTTCAGATTATTTTAGTAAAAAAATATTCTTACTGATCTTCATCTTATTAGCAGCTCAAACTTATAACACATAAATTGGGAAGATAAGTTTTTGAGAAGTGAAAACAAAGGCTCACTTGTTACTTTAATGTCCAAGATAAAAGAGAAAATACAAAAATGTCCTTGGTAGGGTAGCAAAATGTAAATTAAGTGTACTAATGTCTCACTGAAGTGACCAGGGTTTTACCATTAGTATTCTCAGATCAGTTTTCTGCTGTGTTATTTTGTGTGTGCAGAAAGGGAACAGAAACAGACCAGGTTGTTGAAGTCCCTCCCTAGGTGCCCTCAAGGATGTGCACTATTTATGCTTCTGCTTTGCTAATAAAACATGTTTTTAGCAATAGCACTTGGTTTCTTTTGTAATGGCAAATAATTCCTGTAACCCAGTAGTTGTACCTACTGAAATTACCATTGGAAATGTGCTTAGGAACAGTTTAATTACTTACTGCACTTTCTAGTCCAGTTTGCAGCAATAATTGTCATTAATAGTTGAAATATGAATATTTTTACAAGCTTCATACAAATTCTGTGCCTGATTTGTCTAGCTTCTATATGGAATATGTAATGTATAAGAGAATTGAAACACAAACCATGACTAAAGTGCACTTTTTCTTACCAGTTTCTTCTGAGTAGGTAGAGCTGTGGAAGTCAGGTGTTACCTCTTTACATAATGCAAAACTCCCTGTTTTTGCAGGCATCAAAAGATGGTGACCAGGAAAATGCTGCAGCTGCAGCAAATCGTGGGAAAATACTAGTACTGAGAAGGAGAATTGAAGAACTAGAATCCCAGATCACACAAAGAAATGAAGAGCTACAGAAAAAGGTGGTGGTTTATACAATGCTAAATGGGTGGTTTCTCACATTTGTGGTGTAGGATCATGTTTAAATATATTAATTTAAATCTATTTATATATTGAATTATATTAAACAGATATTCTGAGAGCTTTCTATGGAGTAGACAGAGAAGTTTATAGGCAACAACTTGGCCTGAGCAAACCCTGTGAAAGTCCTGTCATTGTGAGCAGTGAATCCTGAAGTGTCCTTTTGTAGTTGTTTGAAGGTAAATGGAACAGAATGCACAAATAGGAGCTTTGTGGGTTAAATCTTATATTTAAATTTTGTGTTTTGAACCCAGTTCTCTTCTGCTTCAGGTTTTCTTGATGCAAAAATAACAGGGAGAAATGTAGGCAAGGGATGATTTCATGTCATGGTTTGTAGCTGTTCTGTGGACAGGACTGGTGGTTGTGGAAAGTGGCAGGAATATGAATCCCGCAGAATTGCAGAGAGGACGGCTCAGTAATTAAAGACTACTATTAAAATTGGAGCAGGTTATAAATTTGATTGGAATTTTTTCAGTACCCTAAGCCAGGCAATAAGGAAATGATGGAACTGTTCCGTGCTGTGGATGGTGGAACCAGGCAGTGCTGTCCTTTCATTTTCAGAGTATGGAACTGGAGGCCCAGCGCTGCCGGGGGACTGAAATGGATGCCATGCTGGCAGAGAAAGAAAAGAAGTTAGCTGAGAGAGATGCTTATATCATCGATTTACAGATGGCCTTTGGATCCGGTGGTGTTACCAATGAAATTGGGCTTTTGCCCAATGAAGAACTGAAGGTATATTAGCAGCTCAGATATAAAATCTCCATAGAGGTTTCAAGGAATCAACGATGGGTTGTACGGTGGATCCTTCTCTGAAGCACAAATCCTCTGCAGTTTTTCATGTGAATAAAAATTCTTTATTGATTATTTTCATTTATGTTAGTAGAACTATCTTTATTTACTCCTTTTGTCATGATCGTTAACATGTATTAGGATCAACTTCAGAAGCTGCTGACAGATTTCATTCAAATTAAAGCCAAACCTAGATTTGAAATTTAATGTTGCATTAACTGAGGGAAGGGCTAGGAAGTGGCTTTATGTGGATCCTCTCTTTCTGGGTCTGTTCTTCTAATTGTATTTTGGTTTGCATTCTCAAGAATCAGCTGGCTGCTAAAGAGTCATCACTGCAAAGCATGGAGATTCTAGTTCAGAACCTTACCAAGAAGGTTGGAGACAGTGAAGAAAAATGTAGTTTGTTCCAGGAACAGATTGAGAGTCTGAAAAACAATCAGAGCAAAGAAAGAGAACGTTTCCAAGGAAAAGAAGCTACCTTTATGGAAAATGTAAGTAAACAACAGTGTAAAAATATTTACATACCCATTCCTTGATGTTGCCAGGCTCTTCCAACTCCCTTGGAAGCTAAATCTTGGATTTTCAGATGATATGCCTGATCTCTCAGCATTTGAGTTCTACCATGTGTGAAACTGTTCATCTCAGGATTTCCCACATCATTTGATGTCTTGAGCTTATTTTATCTGTAACAAAAATGCTAC